ACTGTTTCGACTGTTCCTTGGTCTCTGGTGTGTACCAGTGGATCCATGTTTCGTCGACGGTCACGAAACGACGCAGAAACTTCTTCGGATTGCGCTTAAACAGCGTCAAACACTGCTCTGAAGTGGTCTCACGGTTGCGCTTGTTGTCCGGAGTGAGCAAACGCGGCACCCATCGCGCCAACAGCTTTCTCATGCCCAAAATTTCATGCAGGATATGACCCACGCGGTCTTTTGAGATGCCTACTGTCTCAGCTATCTCGCGCACCTTCAATCGGCGGTCTGCCAATACGAGATTGTGGATCTTTGTCATGTTATCTTCCGTGGTAGCCGTTTTCGGGGCACCTGGGCGTGGCTCATCAAAAACCGACGTGCGACCACGTTGAAACTCGTTAAACCAATTTTTGACGGTCGCCATCGAAGGAGAAGAGTCACCGTACACAGCATCCAAGCGCTCTTTGATTTCGCTACGCGATTTCCCTTCCAAAAACAAGATTCGAATCACCGACCGATATTGCTCTTTTTCCATTTTTCTAAAATCCGCGGACACGCCCGCTTCCACACGCGGTCAAAACAGAACTACGAGTTCGATTCGGCTGAAATTTCGACAGTAGCCGTCTACGAGAATGTACTACACGATAGTAAATTTCTCTTGCGATAGTGGCGCCATCGGGCGGTGAGGCTAAGTACTTATCGGACCGCCCTCGTATATACAGGGTGTCTCATAACTAACTTGGCAGAGCTCGTGGAGACATAGAGCGGGTTAAGACAAATATAAAAGTCCCATACCGTTTTGTGAGATTCGCAATAATTATCGAGTTATTAATGACAGAAATTAGAGGAATGAGCGCGCACCAAGACGTTATGGGAGGAGCATCTAGCCGCTCAGGCTAGAGAGCACTGCCCAGTCGACAAAGGAACTGTTGCCGGCGCGCGGTAAGGGGGAGGACAACGCGCCAATGTTTATGTCCTTACCTCGCCGCTCCTACATCCCGCCGCACCGCGTCTATGCTCGCGCCGAAATGGCCACTGAATATTCGCGATTACAATTAGGAGATTATTTTATGAGGTACCACAGACAGCTCATATTGAATTATAAAGTTCAAGGTTCAAAAGTTCTTTGATCAAGGAAAACATCGAAAAGGAGAAAGCAATAGAGAGCGATGAGATCTACAGAAATTCTCATTGTTTTCTATCGCAATCTATCGTTTTGCTGCATCGGACCCGAAAGAAATGATATGGCGTAAAGACAGAGTACGATGAACACTTTTCATCGTACTCTATTGTACTCTATCGTTAGGAGAATATTTAATTGTTAGAGTATGATAGAATTCGCGTAGAGACTCATTGTGTCCTATCGTTTTATTCAAGTCTACACGGAAAATATGTTTGGTTGAATGAACCAATTTTCTGACGAAATGAGAGAGAGAGAGAGAGAGAGAGAGAGAGAGAGAGAACGATTAAGAAATTTTGATTGAGAATAGCACAATTTTGTTTAAGTTAACCATAAACCTTGATGAATTAGACTCAGTGTTAATATTTTCAGTTAATATTTCTCTGTATCGTTCATATTTCATTTGCAAGCTGTATCATGGACCAAGCATTTTTATCATATATCATGCATAAATTGTTATATCTTATATCGTAATTCTTGTCAGTGGTATATTAACGACAGAAGAAACTGAAAGCTCTGTATCGTACAATTGCGAAAAGAGGACTATCGTTGTCAATGGTGCACCAACGATATTCGGCATAAAATTGATTCCTAGGTATATCGCGATACAACGCAAATCCGAGTGTGTTATTTTGACACGCATAAATGTATGATTGATTGACGCTTTCTTTACACGTTTCTTGTCGTCGAATCGTGCAAAAAAAACATTTCATAGTTAAATATTTCACGCATCTCCCTAATTTTTTAATAAGATACTTACCGAAGGAGAACATATAGAATCAATCGTTAATTCACAATTCCTAAAGTAAGAAATGACACGAAACGACAAGAAAATCCGATGCGATAAATAATTAACTTCCGAAAGGGCAATTATTTTATTTATTTTATTAAAAAATTAGGGAGATGCGTGAAATATTTAACTATAAAATGTTTTTTCTGCACGATTCGACGACAAGAAACGTGTAAAGAAAGCGTCAATCAATCATACATTTATGCGTGTCAAAATAACACACTCGGATTTGCGTTGTATCGCGATATACCTAGGAATCAATTTTATGCCGAATATCGTTGGTGCACCATTGACAACGATAGTCCTCTTTTCGCAATTGTACGATACAGAGCTTTCAGTTTCTTCTGTCGTTAATATACCACTGACAAGAATTACGATATAAGATATAACAATTTATGCATGATATATGATAAAAATGCTTGGTCCATGATACAGCTTGCAAATGAAATATGAACGATACAGAGAAATATTAACTGAAAATATTAACACTGAGTCTAATTCATCAAGGTTTATGGTTAACTTAAACAAAATTGTGCTATTCTCAATCAAAATTTCTTAATCGTTCTCTCTCTCTCTCTCTCTCTCTCTCTCTCTCTCATTTCGTCAGAAAATTGGTTCATTCAACCAAACATATTTTCCGTGTAGACTTGAATAAAACGATAGGACACAATGAGTCTCTACGCGAATTCTATCATACTCTAACAATTAAATATTCTCCTAACGATAGAGTACAATAGAGTACGATGAAAAGTGTTCATCGTACTCTGTCTTTACGCCATATCATTTCTTTCGGGTCCGATGCAGCAAAACGATAGATTGCGATAGAAAACAATGAGAATTTCTGTAGATCTCATCGCTCTCCATCGCTTTCTCCTTTTCGATGTTTTCCTTGATCAAAGAACTTTTGAACCTTGAACTTTATAATTCAATATGAGCTGTCTGTGGTACCTCATAAAATAATCTCCTAATTGTAATCGCGAATATTTAGCGGCCATTTCGGCGCGAGTATAGACGCGGTGCGGCGGGATGTAGGAGCGGCGAGGTAAGGACATAAACATTGGCGCGTTGTCCTCCCCCTCACCGCGCGCCGGCAACAGTTCCTTTGTCGACTGGGCAGTGCTCTCTAGCCTGAGCGGCTAGATGCTCCTCCCATAACGTATCGGTGCGCGCTCATTCCTCTAATTTCTGTCATTAATAACTCGATAATTATTGCGAATCTCACAAAACGGTATGGGACTTTTATATTTGTCTTAACCCGCTCTATGTCTCCACGAGCTCTGCCAGGTTAGTTATGAGACACCCTGTATATGATTATTGTATACTTAACTTAATATTTTTAGAAATCTCAAATTCAAATTATTTTCTTTTTTGAGATATATATTATGTACATAACATAAGTTTTTATATGTACATAAACTTTTAAAAGTAAAAATTATATCGTATTATAAAAATTTAACACGTTTGTTAATAGTGTCCAATATTTAAAAATAATATCTTTTTAAATATTATGTACATAACATAAGTTTTTATAAGTAAAACTTATCAAATTATTTTTTTTGTAAGATATATATGTACATAAACTTTTAAAAGTAAAAATTATATCGTGTTATAAAAATTTAACACGTTTGTTAATAGTGTTCAATATTTAAAAAAAAATATCTTTTTAAAGGTTATGTTATAACCAAAATATTCAAGAAAACCTAGCTACGAAAAATGTCCATAACAAATTTTTACAAGTAAAATTTATCATTTTTTTAGAACACTGAGTTATATATGGTTATATTATATGGTTATTTTACTTGTTATTGTAACAAATTAATTATTATAACAATGCAATAAAAAATATTTAATACAAAAGTCTTGGTGCGGCTGCACCAAAAACTATATCGAACTAAAATTTGTTTAATATATACATGACAGCATTTTTATTATAATAAAATGTTCTTGTAAATTCTCTTTATACATATACGGTATGTTTTATTTAAGTTTATATAGTATTATAATAAATAAATTATAAACCTTCATTATAGAATATATTATTAATATTGAACACTATCAACAAACATGTTAAATTTTTATAACACGATATAATTTTTACTTTTAAAAGTTTATGTACATATATATCTTACAAAAAAAATAATTTGATAAGTTTTACTTATAAAAACTTATGTTATGTACATAATATTTTAAAAGATATTATTTTTAAATATTGGACACTGTTAACAAACGTGTTAAATTTTTATAACACGATATAATTTTTACTTTTAAAAGTTTATGTACATATAAAAACTTATGTTATGTACATAATATATATCTTAAAAAAGAAAATAATTTGAATTTGAGATTTCTAAAAATATTAAGTTAAGTATACAGTAATCATATATATATGTTAGGTTTCTCAGTTGACGCTACTGTTCTAATATATCATTTCTTTTGTACAATAGAAAAATGTTGCAGAGTTTTATTATAGTTATAAGTTTTACTTGTAAAAACTTATGTACATATATATACAGTAAAAAAATAATTTGAATTTGATACTTCTAAAAATAATACAACACGTTGCGCTTGTACTTGGCGCCTTTTTTTACCTTTTTATTTAAAAAGGTAAGTTTTTATAAGTTTTACTTGTAAAATCTTATGTATTATCTTTAAGTTTTATTTGTAAAAATTTGTTATGTACATGTATATACCTTTAACAAAAAATTTGAATTTGAAATTTCTAAAAGTAACATACATTGCGCTTGTATTTACTTGTAATTTTATATATACGTCACGTACATACATTATTAATATATAAATGTTATTAATTTATACTTACTTGTTTATTATCCAGCTAAATCGCGTAACACTACTTATAAATTGTATGAAGCGGTCCTTATAATTGAAGGGCCGTTCGGGCGCAACTTCATTGCAACTTGAACTTGGCGCGAGGCACTACCGTGCCTCTTGAAAGCGTAAAAATAGAGTAGAGGAAAAGCTGACGAAGGCACCGTCTTTCGTCTTTTCGTTCACTTCCACCGCAACAGCGGTCGCGTATTGTGGCACGTATTTAAGTAATATCGAAGAAAGTGTTGAGAAGATGTCGTCGCTAATTGAAACCGTTCGCGCCTGTATTATCGTGGCATCGACTATAAATCCTCTCATCGAGCGCGAGAGGTATTTGCGCGAACTCGTGGCTAATAACGATGAGTGTAATTATTTAACGTTTTATGGTCTCGCGGCCTCATGCAGTAGTACTCTATTGGGAATGCTATTTGCGTGTGAGCATTTTAAAAGTGATCAGCGACTTTGTGAAATTGCTGTAGATATTGTGGAAGCTCGAAGATTGTTCGGAGAAAATGAACTTGACATCGGTAACCACGTTCGTGACATGTTCCTTACTACAACGTAAGTCTTTTATTATTCATTCCTAAAGTAACATAAGAAATAATTTTATAATGCCGCAGGTTTCTCCATTAATCTTTATCTTTTCTCTCGTTCAATCTTTCTCAATGTTTCTCTCGAAAGCGAAGAGCGTCGAAAGAGCTTTTCCCTGAATAGACAGTCTTACCGCCCGCATTACAACATTCCAACAGTGAAGAAGTAGAAGAAACGCTGAGGAATGACGCAGCCCTCAGTTCATCATCTCTAATTACACAACCTGTGAAGAGATGCATGATATTGAGGAAGCATCGGCTGAAGAGGTGCAGCACAGCCGTCTCCATGCCAAGCCCTTCGATATTCGTTTCTTGCTCGAAAACTATCACGTAGGTAGGGTGATATTGAACTCGTAATTCATTTCTACGCGTCACGCATAAAATTTAAGAAAATTAAAAATTAAATTTTTACAGTGCAACAGGGCGGTGGATACGAACAGTCAGATTTCTATGGGGTAGACAAACACGACGAAAAAGAAGAGGAGGATGTTGAAGGAGAAGATGGGGAACTTCCGCTGGAACGCACTGGAAACTTCCCTAATTAGAGCTAATATTAGCGAGACCGATTATAAATTTATTCAAATTTATGGGGAAAGGATGCGTAAATTTAGAAAATTTAATATTCTCGGTAGGGAAGTGTGTATCAAAATTAGGTTTCCCCTCGACGATAACGATATCGTGCATTATCTCGAAAATGTTTTCCGCGAAATCTATGCCTACGCGGTTAACTCGACCGGCCTAAACGACTACGTCGGGTTATCGTTTGCTTCAGCAGACTTAACTCAGGGACCTGCAGGTTTATCGTTTCGCCCAGCATGTGACTTGAGCCATGGTGATATTTGGAATCTTGTGAGCTCGCTAGTTCAAAGTGCTGGAGGTCACGATATACTGGAGCATTTTACTGTTAATGTTTTCAATGTCGCGTTACCTTCGGGACAAGGAGCAAAAGCGAACAAATTAACGCATGAAGGAGTTGCGAAACGTTCGATCCTTATTATAAACAATACAGATAATCTATTCCCGCGCTCGCTTGTAGTTGCAATGATTTATATTGAACGCGGGAATGTGCGCACTGAGGAGCTTCACGCAAAATGGAATGCTGTGAGAAAACAGAATTCTGTGATGCAGCAAGAGCTAGCACTCGAACTTATGCGGAAAGCTGGTGTTACCCGATGAAGGGTGTAACATTCCAGAGTTCGAGCGTTTCCAATTCTATGTCGCCAAGTACGATGCGGTGATCACTGTTTATAATTTTAGCTCTTTTGCTGGTGGTGCGCCTCCGTTATACGGTGGCAGCGGGGTGCTCGTCTCTCTAGGTCGCGCGGTTAGACATAAACTAAATATTATGTATTACAAGCGCAGTCGTCATTTTAATCCAATATTGAATTTAAGAGCTGCTAGTGGAAGCGGGGGTTATTGCGTTCGTTGCAACCGCGGATATAAGCCTGAAAGAGGGCATCGGTGTTCAAATGCATGTTTCCGGTGTTTCGCTGTTCCAGCGTGTGAAGAAACAGTTCAACTAATCCATTGTAACATGTGCCAGCGTGCGTTTTACGGTACCGCCTGCTTCGAGCGTTATCGTGCCCCAAAGTCATACAATGTCGAGACAATATCGAGCGTCTGTAGCATTCTTCGGATTTGCAACAAATGTGGACTTTTATAAAACTCAAGAAAAAAACACAAATGCTGTATAGTTTATTTGTGCGTCGTCAAAACCACTGAACCATCTCTGTTTCACGCGCCCTCTTCGTCATACTGATGGATTATCGAAAAATTCAACGCAAGCGGAAAACGCTAGTGAAACTGAAATGGCGGATGAAAATAATAAGAACGTAGAAACATGCGAACGGAAGAAGGATCGCATCGCATTTGTGTTTTATGATTTTGAGACACGACAGGATGATGCAGTCGAAGGCAGCGAAAATGTTAAAACACACGTGGTTACACTTTGTAACCGCAGCACTACACTTTGTATCGCGCAGCAAATATGTGATTCGTGGGGATAGACGACATGACTGTGCGTTGTCGTTGGTGCGGTGTGCGTGAATTAATATTTCACAATAACTCGGTGAAGTAATTTGTCGATTTTGCCGAGACAAGACCGACGAAGAGCTTCAAACAGATCATTTGCAGCGCGCACAACGCAAGTGCGTTCGACTCGCAATTTATTCTCCGTTACATGGTCGAAAGTAGCAGATACGTTGAACGAAAACTTATTTTAAACGGTATGAAAATTGTACTATTAACCGTTGAGCAAACTAAATTCATAGACAGCATTAATTATATGCCGATGCGATTGTCAATGTTGCCAAAAGCTTTCGGGTTGAAGGGTATTTCAGGCAACCACTCCTGTGGACACCACCTTGTCGTGGTGGAGTGGCTTACGGGTCCCAATGAAGTGTAGAGCTATGCTGGCGGGAGTCACGGCTCCTGGCAGGTCTTACCTTGCCGGATTGGTCTATACCGAGGGATTCAACTAAGAGCGTCCCCCCCCCCCGGGATGGGCAGCTGCCTTCCGGGGGTATTAAGGAGCCGGAGGGCTATGGCCCAATGGCCCCCACAGCGCGGGCAGGTCGGGCTCGTTAGCCTGTGTGGCAGCCGACTTAGGGGAAGGAAAACCCCGAAATCAAACCCGAGGTTGTCGGCTCGTACCCTCCATAATTTATGGATTATATATGAAGAAAGGTGGGAAATCCATCCCGGACTTCGGAACCGGGAAACGGCGTGATGGTAGGAGTATTGTCCCGGCCCCTCCCACGTCGACATCAAGCGTCGGGCTGGAGACGGAGTTTGTGGCGGGCTCCTCCTCTAAAGTCCTACCGCCGCTGGAGGGGAGATCGGGAAGGAGGATCTGGATCTAGATCGTCGGAAGGAGGGGAAGGAGGGACCAGAAGATAAGAAGGAGCAGGGTTCTTCTGGAGTGGGGCATATGGAGGCATCGAAGGATGTGGTCCTGAAAGTGGGTGTCGGCGCCTGTTGGACCCGGGGGGCAGCATGGTGGCTGTACTGGCCCTGCTGCCGCCTTGTCGTCATTAGACCAGGATCCGGAGGAGGGGTTGGCAGTGGCCGGCCCCTCTACTTCTAAGGGGGCTACCGTCTCTGAGGCCGTTGGGAGGAGGAAGGACTCGGACTTAGTCCAGCAAAAAGAGGATAAGAAGAGATCGGAGGGAAAGAGGGTCCAGAGTTACCCCGGAGGAGGATACACGGAGACATTAAGGCCTAGGGAGTGGATAGAAGACGTGCCGGGCCCTGGTCGTATGGGCATTGTCTTCAGTGAATTAAAGCCTGTCCTGGCAGGGGAACCGGGGTCGGTGCCGTGCCATTCTCCTAAGAGGTTGGGCCATGGGGTGTACGAGGCTTCTGGAGCTCGCTTCAATAAGTTCGAGTGGCCCCTGTACAATGGGAGAGCCGCCGTACAGTTCCTGGAGGATTCGGCGTTCAATAGGAAGCTGAGTGCTGGTGGCTGCTTCACGGTTATCGTGCACTCTGGCCGTGCAGGTAGGATGATACGGGATGGAGTGATGCCGGCTTCAGCTGTAAACGAGGCCGTGGTGGAAACCTTTGATGGGGGTTGGCTGGAGATGATTTTCTCGCCAAGGTTGAATGAAAGGAGGCGGAAGACGAGGGAGATTGAACGTGGACCGATGCAGGGGGATCCTCTGATTATGTCCCCGGGTGCGTTGGAGTATAGGCCCCGGACGAGGAGGAAGATAGTTAGGAAGAGATTGAAGGCACATAGGCCCCAAAAGCAAGGAGTGGGTGGCGAAGACGGACGACTGCTCCGGATGATGTTTGCTGGCCCTCGGACCCGGTCAACCGGTGTTTATCCGGTGTTATCGGGCGAGGATCGTCTAGCGAACGGAGTAGTGGATGCCGCAGAATTCAAGGAGAATCGCAACGCAGCCTTGGAATGGGCAGTAGATGAGGACTCACCGGATTACATGGTGGGCCACTTTGAGCTGGAATTGATAGCATGGGAATCCATGATGAATAGAAGATTGGAGGAGATGGAGATTGTTGGTACGAAGGTATGGGAGACCTTACAGGCTGTGGGACGCCTCGTGGATGCCCTTGCGGAGACCCGTGTAGATGCGGGTTCTCCGGAGTGTGAGGCTAAAGAGGTGAGGAGTAAAGAGGGGCAGAGTAGCTCCGTTAGACGGAGTAGCTCTGTGGTGGACAAGGAGATAGTGGCGCTAGAGCCGGCGTCTTCTAAGATGGAGTCAGGAAGGAAGGAGACCAACTGTTGTCGTTGTATTGGGAAAAGGGAAATGGTCTTCGTGAATGTTGGTGTACAGGCCTCTCCCGTTTCGTCCAGTGTTGCTACCAACACCATGTTGGATGGCTGCATGGACGTTGGTAGAAAGAGAAGGGAAAAGGATAAGGAAGGTGCGAGGACTCGTGAAGGAGTTCTAGAGACGAGAAAGAAAGCTGAGAATGAGGAGGGAAAAGAAGCTGAGAGGAAGAGGAAGAAGTCGCTTGATTATGGATCCGAAGTTAAGGTTGACTCGGAGGATCATGACGGCGGAAATGAAGCTCGTGGATTAGGTGGAATGAGGAATAGAATTAGGAATAGGAGGAAGGAAAGGAGCTTGGAAAGGATGAAGAGACAAGAGGGAAACGAGGAAAGTAAGGTAAGTAAGAGGTAAAGGACCCAAGTGGCAGGTTCCCCGGGGTCCTGTTCGTCGATTGGTCGGGATAAGGCCAACCTAAGGGTGAGGCTAGATAAGGAGCCGGTTGGGTCACGATCCTCGGAATTGGGCAGCCCAGGCATTGGGTTAAGAAGAAGGAGGAACACCGGTCGTACTAGGACTATATGTTCTGTATGTCGTCGTGGAAACGGTTGGTCTGCCGATTGTGGTGGAAGTCGGGACTGGGGTCGTTCACGTGCGTTGGCTTCAGTGGCTTATTCAGTTCGGGATCAGGACGGGTCGGCTCTAATAGCGGGACGGCAGTGGATATCGACTCCTGTGGGAATCCCCTACAGGGAAAGAACTTACTGGGTAGCGATGGGAAGAAGAAGGAATTTAGGGAATGGATCTTCGGATTGGGAGATGGTTAGAAGAAGAAGGCGAAGGAGAAGAAGAGAGGATATGAAGGAGGAGAAGGAGGAGACTAAAAGGGAGAAAAAACGGGTTAAGAAAGATGGTGATGAGGATGTGGAGGTATATGGGGGTGGTGCTGGCCTGAGACATATCCGGAGGAGCGATTGTAGGTTCGGAGGTCGGACTTCCTCGGGTGGATCGTTGCGGCCATCGCTATCTCCATCCTACGCTCAAGTTTGCTCTGTGTATACGGGTGGTAGAGCGGAGGGAAGGGGAGTTTTTATCCCCAGTCCTGGTCGGGCGAATCGCGTTGGGCAAAATCCCAGTGACCTTCGTTGGAATCCACCGTGGAGGTTCGGACCGGTGAGATGTCACAGGTGTTGGGAAGTCGGACACCTAAGGGGTAATTGTAAGTCCCCAGTCGACCGAAGTGAGATTTGCTTCAGGTGTGGCGACGGGGGACATTTTGCGAGAAATTGCTGCGCGAGAGTCGTCGGCTGTGACCTGTGCAGGGCTGAGGGCCTCGCGTGGCATCACAGGATGGGTGGGCGGT